AAAAGTCATACGGCGTGGTAACAGAATGCAAAGACAAAGCCGCTATATAAAACATTACTCCTCTGGCAAATAAGACGGGGAAAAGCGAAACGATAGACACTACTAAGTTACATATAATCCTGTCAATCATGAACAAAAGCTTGCGATATCAAACAATGCGTATATAAGCGCTCCAAACTCTCATCTCAAAAAGACATTAAAAAACGTTACAAAGGTGCTATCAACTCAAAAAGCGTCAGAAGTATTCCGGAACAACACGTAAACAAAAACAACTCTTAAAACGTCGATATCTCTGTACATCGACAAATCTCAAAACTCTGAAAAACTCGTTGGGGCATTACTTTCTCCATCATAATCCGTACTCATAAACTCGTTAAAACACCATAAAACATCACAAAACTCAAAACACTGTGTTGCAAATACTTGTCCACTGAAGCGCGCTTAAATCGTTATAAAGGACCTCGAACGTCACTAAATATCATTTCAAAACAAAAATCTGGGCGCTTACATAACATACAATTCGACATCACTAAAAGAAACGGTAAAAACGATAGGAAAAGCAAGCAATACATTACATTACTGAGCAATAGGGTTAGGATTGTGGAAAAGAGTTCAACGTCCTGAGTTACACAGTGTCAGTTTCAGTGTCCAACGAGCGGTTCTCTAAGCAATACAAAGATAGCTAAAGTCAAAGTCTATAAGCGTCTCTTCTCTTGTCGTCGCGTTAGTCCGGGTCGTTCTTTGTCATCTTCTTGTCTTTAATGTCGCTCAATTCTTAATTATACAGTACAATCCGGTACTGGTCCTTCATAAGGGGTTCTGAAATCTTCATCTCTTCAGCGTCGTTCATCGGTGCCATACTGGTAAAGGCGTTAGTCGTCAAGCGCAGTTTCCGAGTCGTCTCTGCCATCGAGTCAGTTAGTTCGGTTCACAAGAAAGACACACCTTCGCCAATTCACTTTTCTTCACAGGATGTCAATGTGTGTTAAACACCTGCCCGGGATCTCCACTCACGTATCAGGTGGAAATTCTTCTCTCTCGGGGTCTCCACACTTGTCAGGGGGGAAACTCGTCTCGTCTCTATATCTCGTCTCCTTGAGGTACGGGATCGGGAAAGTCACTTTAACTTTTCAGTCAAATAAGACACATACAACGAAATACGTTTCAGCTCTCGTCTTAGTCGATCTTTTGGAGCACTCTATAAGACACAGCGCCCTGGGGAAAAGTCCCCAAGACTCTCGCAAGGCTGACCCAAGACTAGCCCAAGACTGGACTGCCTCAAGGCTCGCCCCTGGACTCTCTCGGACTGGACTCGACTGCCCAAGGCTGCGTCTGTCCTGGAGTATTCGCCAAGACCAACTCAAATTCTCTTTATTCATTTTCAAAACTCTAACCAATTACAAAACAGTAAAAAGACTCTAGGGCGTAACCTTCAATCATAAAGCCAATCACACTAAGTACTGAATACGTCATATCTTTTGATTAATCGTTCACTACATTAATAACTGTGGATATAAACTGTCAGAATCGCGACGGATATCTGGAAATTAGTTCCAAATCACTGAGCCAAGTTCCGTCCAAAACATCAATAGGCCTACACGATGACAGACATAACACAGCAATTCGCTAATAATCAGTTAATTAAGTCGGTCAACAGATACGCAAAAACAAATTCATGACAGTAGGATGTGCTGGCTCTTTTCGAAATATCTGGCATTACTTCATGTTTACCATGCCATGCCAATCCCAGGTTATTGTTTATCAGTTGTTTTGTGTTATTGGTCTTGTATTTTTTTATTTGACTATGGATTTTGATAGGATGAGTGTACATGACTTTACTCGTGATTACAATTTTGCAGAAGTAAGCAAATTTAAATATCGATAACACTTGAACATAACTACCGCCAATGATTCGAGATCTGATAAAAATATAATTTAGTATCACCGAGATATCACAATAATATACCTATCTCATTAAGTCTAAATTAAGAGATAACAGTCAACCCGTATTATCCCGAGTTATCAAGCTTTAGTAATTGATACACTTTCGTAGTACTGCAACAAATAGCGTTATTTCCTGATACCATCGAACTATAGCTCTATGGTTTTGTATAATAACCTAACGATGTAAGTTAGAAGATCGACTACTACTAAGTTGAACTGTTTTTAGAAAAATGAAACATTGGTTCAATTTATTAAAATTACCGATTGCCTGAGGGCATTCAGGACCTACACCACTCTCATGATTGCTGTGTTGGATTTTTAGTTTTCAGTTAAATGTGTACAGTTTTCTCAATTTAGAGTTGGATTGTTGTTCAGGGGTGTCCTACGATGTCCGATCACATTCCCCGGAATAAATCCTGCTGAGACACAGAAACATCTACTACAACCTAAGCTATGCAAAGGTTGTGAATGTCTGATGATCAGCACAACTGTTGTTTGGTTTATACTGGATGGATTTGTGGCATTTGTGAGTATTGTTCACCATACGTTTTGACAAAATATGGCAGATACTTTTTCATATGCCAAATAGGTCCTAGAAGACCGGATCATAAGTCCCCCACAAGTACAATTTCTGTACTGTATACTGTTCACTGATATCGTGGATTTAGATGATTAATTGTTTCACAAATTGATTTGATCCGCAATTCTCCCCAGGTGTTTGCACAATGACCACAACCCAACCACCTTGTTTTCCTACCAGTCTCCCGCGTGTATTGCACATCTAGTATAATAGGCTTACTAGGCTAAACTCAATCCGTTTCATCAATAGTACATTGTTGTTAAAGCTGTCTGTCAGAATGCCAAAGTCGATGCTTCATTCTTGGCAGCTAAATGTGTTCTGAAGTTATCTTTAGTTAGGCATTTCGGAGCCCACTACAGCTGGTGCCAGCTTTTGTCCTGTTCCGCCTAGGCATTCAAAATGTATAGTCATCTAATATTTGCTATTTCTAGTTTTGTAAGGTGTAGTATAGAATGTGATGGCAAGGATATGAATAACATCAACGACACTCACTGCAACTGGAGTTAGCGACATCTTGTACAAGAGGGAATCCCACAGCACAGAAATCTTATCAATGTTTAGCACAGCTATCTCACAATTCCATGCTGCATTGCAGGTAGTGTTTTTAAGATTCATGTAGTCACTGGGGCCAACAAATTAAATTAATTTTAATAAAATGTTGACTGCTCACAATACAGCTATGCCAATCTTACTTTACTGTCTATTTAATAACCTTGTTTGTACAAAACGTACATAATGCAGCCGATTGCCCATGATGATTCCATAGACGCAAGTGATACTACATGAAGCAGCTGCACTTCAAAATAGAAATAGTACCCTACAACGGCAAATACCTGGATCTGAACAGATTCAATTCGCTTGTAAAAAAGATGACTCTGGATTTGCAGGACAATTCTTTGCAAGTAGCAATACGTCAGAACAACTGCACTGCGTGTTGAAGCACAAGGGCAAACATACATTTTTGTACTAGCCCTCCACGTTGAAGTACACTCCAGTAGGGCTACTTTCAGAGGGGGGTGGCTGCACTGTACAAAAAACACACAGTAGAATGGCTTTGAACCAGGGTTTAGCAATAGAAATATGCACAGTAAGAACATCGTGATTAGTAATCAACCAGACCAGGAGATGTCATAGTTTGAACCAATGAAGTATCTAGCTTTTGACATACCGATTATTTTTAGTTTATTTCCATTGTTTTGTTTGTTAATGCACGCCCTTTTGAAGTATTCTCCATGACATTACATGTGGTTAACGAGAGTTAACGGTCAATATTGAGGAAGCTCAATGGAATCTCTGCAGAGACAGGTGTTGAATTTACTGACAGTGTTGATATCTCAGCACATAATTAGAGTGAACTTTTGGAAGCACTCGTGTGATTGTCTTCCCCCAGACAACTTATCATAGAAAACCTTAATTATTTCATCTAAGCAGAGCATGTAACCGCGGATGATGAAACCACATTGGCATACTGTTTTCGTAATTCTCCATAGTGACATATTTATGGCAAAAGATTGAAGCAGCACCATGTTTTAGGTCGGATAAAAAAAAATCAACATTCTATAGTGTGCATGTATATGTTTGTTTTTCGGAATTTGCATAAATCGTAAATTGTTGAATTTATTATATATGTATTTCGCCAATAGTCACTTACATAACACTTCCAGATTGATCATTCATCATGTTCCAATTGCCTTATGTGACACATCGAACATATCATATGGATGGGTGGTGAAAGCACTTTTGTAATTTCTATTTGCCTTATTTGACTTTATTTCTTACAATATTAATTTATTTTACAATATTGAAAGAAACTTACCTGGCCAATAGTTCTGCTATATAAGAAGAATAAACCTGGTAATACCTAACATGTATCATATCGGAGACAATACCGTTTTCGTGAGATTCGGTCTGACTAGAGTGGTCCAATTAAATTACTCTGACGTCATTAAAGACGATCGTACACAATGCCACGTAGTTCGAATTGGTTAATATTTATCTAAGGTAATTTCATCTGCGTCATACTACGATCCTGTTCCAGGTTTGATACTTAATGCCCGTTGTTGACTGCAAAACATCGTTATAGTTCAATGTTTATAAACAACGAAGTTCGGTATTGATTGGTTTAAATATAAAGTTACGTGTTCTGTTTCTACATATAGTCACTTGCACTGAACTTAACTTTTTTTTTTAATTTAGAACATTCATTATGGTTTCTCTTATTATATTCTTTACTGTGATAGTGTTACTGCCTTGGATTCCAGGTAAGTTTTAAATTGTTAAAACATTGAAAGGAATAACTGAAATACCAATTCCTATACGTTTCACGATCAGGGATATTATATTCTACGGCGGAGGTTGTGCAAACAAAATGATGGATACGATTTCTACCTTTTAAGCGAGCTGCAATGTTACGTCAAAAAACGATGTGTTTTAACAAATGTATTTAGTGACATATTTTGTACTTTCAAGGTTTAGGAGTAGGCAGCCAAACTTCAACTGTTCCTATGGTGACTACAGAAACCATTGAAACTACAGGTAATTAGAATAATCACTTAATCAGATTTATCTCTAGCTATAAATCGCTCTAAATACTTTGAGCTGATATTTGAGATATTTTTTGTCATGACTTCATGACAACTGTGAACTGGAAAATGGAAACATTCTCTAGTTTTAGATTCATTTTGAGTCAGATGTTCGGCACTATTTTAAATATCAACGATTCCAATGAGAACATCCCTGACATCCCTGCCATTTATCTGGTCACCACTTTTTAAGCTCGTTTTCTTCCCTGTGTCCAGTTCCGTCATGTTTGTGATGATGCAGTATGATAAAGATAAGAAGTTATTCGCGGCTACTACCAGAAATAATGCTCAAACAATATTTATTTTGATACGTTTCTGGCAATGCCATGGCATCACTGGGCCAGTCGTGATTAAACTCAAATATCCGGTGAAATATAAGTATGTGTGGCAAATGAATATTATTGTATGTGACATCGCTTCATAATTGTTGTTACTTTCAGATTGTTCTTTTATCAACCCCGAGGGTTACTGTTCAAGCAATTTGCATATGTTTGAATATTACGAAAGAGAAGCCGACGACCCAGTAGGGGACATCAGTAACGAAGTTCCAAGCGAAGCAGTTGTTAACTACACAATAGTGGAAGAGGAAGAGAGTACAGTTTTCAGAGTTGATTCGCACGGGGTTATATATCCAATGGCGCCGTTAGATAGAGAGGAAGTGGATGCATATACATTTACCGTAGCTGCGACTGGATGTCAGTTCACAAAAACTATTCCTGTTCACGTTAATGTACTCGATAAGAATGACAATATTCCGTATTGGCTGCAGACCGATTACCATGTCCAATGGATTGATGGAACAGCTGCTCGTGTCGCAATTGTGGTCGTGTTAGCTTCAGACGAGGACATAGATGACAACGGTCGATTGATTTATGTAGTAAAGCCCCCATTTGACAAATATTTTTCGGCAGTTGAAAACGTAGTGTTCAATATTGACCAACTCGTTCTGTCCAAATTTCTAGACGATGACGAAGTAACTGTCGAGGACAATGAGTTCACATTCGCAGTTCAGGTATGGGATAACGGACAACCACCCGAAGATGCAGCTACAGATGCAGAAATACATGTTAAAATAACAAGTCAGGTAGAGGAAGGCTTTGAAAACATCACATTGCAGTCTGCATTCGTATACGAGAACCAGCCGATTGGAACATATGTTACAACTATCTTATCCGAAACAAGTGACGATTACGAAGTGATATTTGTCGTTGCCGGAATGTATGATTTATTTGAAATTGATCCAATATATGTAGGTTCTTTTTTTTTATTTCTATCTCAAACTAATGAGTGTTAATCATGTTTTTTTTTTCTATTTATTGAAAACTATTTAAATGTTGTATCTATAATATCAATGGGTGTCTTGATTCAACTGCGTATATGTGTCATTATTTGCAGGGGAACGTGACAACCAACAGGGTGTTTAATAGGGAAGTCAAAGACGGGTATCATTTGATAGTTAATGGATACATCGCCGATCATACAACGTGCTTCATTTACCCGGTAAATAAAATAAAAAAATTAGGCCTGTTTTCAATAACTCTTTTAAACACAATGCAGCACCATTGTTCTCAAATGGTATTTCAGGTAACTGATTGTTATGTATACAAATTGGTATTTGCTTTGCATATGAATGCTAACCAGTTTTACAGTAGAAGTGTTTGTTTCGCGTATAAACCACACACGATAATGCAGTGTTTCATAAAATCGTATATTTTTTTCGGCATGCTCTATCTGAATATTTTCATCAAGATTGCCGAAGAATTGATTATTGATATATTGGACATGAATGACAACTATCCAATATTTAACTATTATACGTCATCCGGATCTATTGCTGAAAACTCGCCACCAAACACAACAGTGATAATGGTAAGTGTGAGATCATTTGGAACTGATTATAAATGTGTTATATATGTCAGTTGATTGATTGATTGATTGATTGATTGATTGATTGATTGATTGATTGACCTAGGTACCACTCATTGAAGCGACTGATGCTGACATCAATGACAACTCTGCAATAGTCTATTCACTGTCAGGCGATGGGAGTTACCATTTCCAAATCGATGAATTAACTGGCATCATCAAAACAGTCGATAATAACACTGCGCTTAATTTGGACCGCGAAGTGAGAGATACATACGAACTCACGGTTACAGCAGCTGATATGGGCGGTGATGTTGACAACCTCAATACTACCATATCTATTGTTATCTATATCAGTGACGTCAATGATAACACACCAGAATTTAATGAGACATTATATGAATTTGAACTTGCAGAAGATACACCTGTTAATTACGTCATAGGCACGCTAATAGCCGAGGATTATGACATAGGGCTGAACGGTCGTGTATTATATTCTACGATGGGTGGTAGCCATGGTGATTTTGACATTGACAAATATTCTGGTGATTTATTCGTTACTGGGATATTAGATCGTGAATCTATATCATCATACGTCATAAACATTTCAGCTTATGACACTGGAAATCCAGTATTAGAATCTTACACCGTAGTCACTATAGATATACTAGATATTAACGATAATAGTCCAGTATTTAGTTTTGACTTATATATAGGAAGTATCGAGGAATCCGCGCCATTGGATAGTTACGTGCTGACAGTGAGGGCGACAGATGATGATGAGGAAACCAATGCTGACGTCATCTATTCAATTAATAGCACTGATTTTGTTATAGACACAGTTACAGGTAAGTCTGTTTAAGTGGGAGGGTCGTCACCTGCGCACGCGCGGGAATTGAGTTCCAAGCGACGATTACAACACACGCTAAAAACGTAAACTTGGGCTCGTGGGCAGACGCTTGTTTGTAAACAATGAAACGCTATGGCCATCTGACGCATGTGCAGGTGACGACTCTCCCGCTTTAAGTGTGATGAATAAGACCTGTTCTTCAATGTGCATCCATTACGGGCATTTACAAATATATATTCGCGAATATTCGAGCAGCAGGATTCAACTTTTTGCAAATCTCTCATCTATGTATTTGTGTTACGCCTACTGACAGGTGACGTCACTACTGCCAGTCAGGACTTTGACTTTGAGGACGCCAACGCGCGATCCTTCGAGTTTGCAGGTACAGTTAGAAACAGTTATTAGTACGATTCATGATTCAAAATTCGGATTCTAATTTAAAAACACAACACAAGATATAAGCAACAAAACGACATTACACATAACGGCATGTCAATAAGACGAATATGTACAGGACTCAAGACACACAGGTAGCTAAGCGTGGTTGTCGGTCATAATCACATAATTAGAATGTAATGACACTGTCATTCGCCACATCGAATAACACTTGCCTAATTCTGTTTTTTAATTGAATAATATGTTATTGTTTAATGTGAATATAACATTCTAGTGACTGCTACTGATTGTGGAAACCTGTCATCAACATCGGTGGTCAGAGTCCAGATTCTAGACAGCAATGACAATGCACCCGTTTTCACAGAAAATGATTATTTTGGATATATTGATGAGAATTCTGTCTCTGGTACGACAGTTGTTATCGTAAGTAATATCAAAAGTTCCCGTATTGTAAAAACAGTTGTCCGTGCGTTTGACAGTTTGGCTGTTCGTCACTTGAAAGCTCATTAATAATTCATATTTATATTCAGAATCGCTACATTGAAACCATTGATGCCGACATTGGACTGAACGCGGCGGTTGTTTACACACTCACGGGAGAAGGAAGCGATCAGTTCCAGATAGACAACAAAACTGGGATTATTACGTCGACTGCAAATGACACTGATCTTGACCGTGAAAACGTTAGCTCATATCAGCTTGTAGTCACTGCCTATGATAGAGACGCACAGAACGGAAGTCGGAGTTCAAGCGCCCCAATAACTATTTTGGTCAATGACGTCAATGACAATAGCCCAATGTTCCAGAATACTTTTTTCAACTTTACTGTAATGGAAGACACTGACGTGGGAAACATTATTGGCCATGCCATAGCAGAAGACGTCGACATCGGCATTAACTCACGACTAACGTATACTGTAGTTAGCGGAGGCGAAGGTAAATTCGATGTTAACTCCGAGAGTGGCGCAATTTTTATTCTGAGTCAACTGGATCGCGAGGAAACTGCCAGATACGTGCTGAATATGTCCGTTTCAGACAGTGGCATTGACATACTACGAGACTTTACTAAAGTGGAAATACACCTACTTGACGTCAATGACAATTCTCCAATGTTTGACAGCGATAATTATCTAGTTGAGGTGGAAGAAGAACTAACATCCGGGACATATTTATTCACAGTAACAGCTACAGACCCGGATGCTGGCAGTAATGGCGATGTGTTGTTCAGTCTGACTACCACAGACTTCGTAATAAACCAGACAACAGGTAAGTATTCCAATGTTGTTTATATAATGTATAAAAAAACGATGTAGCGTAGAACACATTTCAAGCAGTTTCGAATTTTAGGCACACGTGTAGTTGTTATGTGGGCATACGTGCGCCCCGAGCGCGTGCGTGTGTGCGCGTGCGTGCGTGCGCGTGTGTATGTGTGTATACTTGTGTGACACAAAAACTCTTAACTGTACACACAAAAAAACAATTATTTTATAAAATTATAAAGATCACGTATTATTTTTTTAGGGGAGATATCAACTGATGTACGATTGGATTTCGAAGAGGATGATAGCCGAAGATACGCATTTTTTGGTAATTTAAATATATGACCTCATACCTTGTTGATAATTCCCATAAGTTTCAATGGCCTATGTTAACAATCTGCGTTATTCCTTGCAGCACTCGCCGTTGACCAAGGTGAGCCCGGACTGACGTCGACGGCTTCCATCAAAATACAGTTGGTTGATATCAATGACAACGCTCCCATTTTCACTGAACCTGTATATTACGGTAACGTTGATGAGAACGCAGAAACCGGAACTACGGTAATCATGGTATGTATAATTGTATCCTAAGTTCTATTGACCAACCGCTTCTGTGAAGTAATGTAGGCTAGATGGCGCTATTTATTGAACAGGTGTATTGAATATCTATTCTCAGAAACGTTATATTGAAACTACTGACGCTGACGCTGGGCGCAACGCCGATGTGTTATATACGCTCACCGGAAATGACAGTGATCAATTCCATATTGATGCCAACACGGGTATAATTACCACGACTGGTGATGACGTAACTCCAATTTTGGATCGTGAAAAAATAAGTCTGTATCACTTGGTCGTCACCGCACACGATGGTACCCACAATTCCACGGTCCCAATAAACATTACTGTGAATGATGTTAATGACAACGCTCCATTATTTGAAGAGGCGGTTTACCACTTCAATGTGAGTGAAGACGCAACTGTCGGAACCACTGTAGGGTTGGTCGTAGCCCAAGATATGGACACCGGAATCAATTCTCGGTTGACATATTTTCTAGTCGGCGGAAGTGACGGTAAATTCTCAGTAGATCCCGTGAGTGGTGCAGTATTCGTGTTGAGTCACCTCGATCGCGATACCACGGGATCGTATACTATAA